GCACTTCACCTGAGTGCCATGAGTTTTCAAATATCTTTGCCAGTGGCTGGGTTCCTTAAGTACGCTGGGGTGCAATCTGTCGGGACCAGCTGACTTGAAAGTGTCCGGCCTCTCAAGGTGTTCCTTTACAAGGTCTACACCAATGCTGAGTATAAATTCACCCTCACCCTGACTGTCCCGCATCATGCTAGGCAGGGCAGTCCCTTTGGGCTGATGAAAAATCGATGTGAAGTACCCATTAAGCAGGTTGGCTTTTTCCTGGATGTCAGCTGTCCCATTTGGTTTAGCAGGGGTCCAATGTTATCCTTGCTTTTCTTCTGACTCCCCACGTATCTGAAAAAGGACTTTTTATTGTCCTTGATACATGTAGCCAGTTGGAGTTCAGTTGCAGTCTTGGCTTTCCTGGTTCGCTCTCTACAGGTACAGACCAGTGCAGAATACTCCTCCTTAGTGGTGATTCCTGTCTTCCATCCTTTATAAGCCTCTCATTTTAGGTGTAGGAGGTCCACAAGTTCCCTGCTGAGCCAAGGGGGTTGTTGTGCCCTTTTGCTACCTTTTCTCCAAGATAGGATGGACATCCCTTGTGCTTTCAGGATCGCTCCCTTAAGGAGCAACCACTACTCTTAGATTCCCCCCGCCCTGTCGAGTCATGGTCCCTTAGGGCCTCAACAACAAACCTCCTGAGCTTATCAAAGTCAGCTTTCCTAAAGTTGAGGAAAGTTGATGATGTGTGTTTGAACAATAGTAGACATTCCTATTCAGAAAAGGCCACATGTTGCTCCTTGTATGGACTGAAGCAATGGTTAAGTAGATTGGGCCAAAAATTTTGTTCAGAAAGTTACCATTAGTCACAAGGGGCAGACACACCATTAGTCATGTCCTACTTGGTGGAAAGAGAAAACTCATCTACGTAACATTAATTCTCCGCAGAAATAAGAGTGAGATTTGGAAGGTATAACATCTTGTGCCTTACAACACAAGGGGGTTCAGGAAACCTTTAGGAAAGAGGGACATTTTTGGGCCCCAGCTTCTGAGTTGGTAAAGAAACCAGATGCTCCCAAAACTTTGAAAATCCCATCTAGGGCTCATCTGGGACAAGCTGAGGGAGTCAGTGAACTGGCAGGCTGCTAGCCAAGATAAGTCATCTGCAGAGAAATAGCTGGTCACAGGGGACTGTTCTGAAGCTGTTTCTAGATAGAAAAGTAGTGTGAAGCCTTGTTTTTCTGACCTTTTATATTTGTCTTATCTCTCTCTCTCAAATTATAGTTACTTTTGCTTGCATGTTATACCTGTTTTGTAACAAAATCCTTTTCCTGTTTAGCCTTGTTGATTGTCTGTGACAAGCATGATGATGACATAGTAACTGTTGCTCCATCGAAGTGGGGATCTGCCTTCTGTTTTAGCAAACCCAGGGTGATAACCCCAAAGAATGGCAGACCTTCCTCTGCTGAAGCTGCGAAGAGCTGGTTTGGGTTGAGGGAGATTAAGGTTGGCTAAAGGTAAAGAGTGCCCCCAGGATTGACCCCAAGAGCAAGATCTATTCTGTCCCCTAAGGCCCCATCTACATATTACACTTAAGGTGTGATTAACCTTAAGTGGTCACCTGGCCACATGTTCAATTAATTAATGGCATAAGAGGAATAAGCTACTAAATTATTTCACAAAATATGTATAATAAAACTTTACAGCTGATGCCTATCATGCCATTAATTTGAATGTGCTCCTAGGGGTTCCTCTATCTGGAAGCCCTATCAGCTGATTGGAGCTCCCAGCTGATGCGGCCCAGGTACACCTCTGAGCCTGAGCTCCCAGCTGATGCTGGCTCTCAGGCCCTGCACTGGAAACCCAATCAGATGACAGGGGTCCCAGCCATGGGGGTGTCCCATGCATCCCCCATGGCTAGAAGACTGCAGCTGAGGTACAGTTCCAGCTGCTGAAGTGCTCCAGACATCCCCACGACTGAGAGACCACAGCTGATGCAATCTCTCACTTGTAGAGATGCTTCAACTCCACTTATTCACAGAGGTCCCTATGGCAGGAAGATTACAGCTAACACGGTGTCCTAGCTCTGGGGGTGCTTTATGTGCCCTTATGGCTGGGAGATCACATTAGCTGTGGTTTTGTAGTCACAGGGTTACATAAAGCAGCCCCATGGTTAGGAAACCATGTCAACTGTGGTCTCCCTGGTGCAAGGACCCCCGGAGTGCCCCTGTGGCTGGGATCCCAGGTCAGCTGATGGAGCTCCCAGCTGCAGGAGCATATAGTGCACCCTCATAGCTGGAAGCAGTAAGGTGTGAGGGGATCTGATTCATGATCTCACAATCAGACCTCCTGCTATGCATATGTGGCACGACAGGAAGCACGATTATGTGGATTATGCATTATCTTACCTGCAGGGAGCTGGCTGCCTGACTGTATTGTACCTTTACCTGCAGGTATAGAGGGGCCCTAAAATACACAGCAGAACAAAGGGGAGAAACTTGGGTTCCTGGGTCCCCACAACATCTTAACATAACCCACAGCTCTTGCCAGCCTTACTTACAGGGAAAAAAAATCCCTTCTTATCCCAAATTTGGTGATTGGTTTGACCCTGAGCAAAAGAGCAAGATCCTGTAAGGAAGACACATCTGAGTTTCTGAAGTACCAGCATGAGTGACAGGTAATCATCAAGTATTGGTGTGTCTACATCCTAGTAGTTCAGAGTAAGATGAAAAACCTCTCCAGAATCTAGTAGCATTCATGTGGGGGAAAATTCCATCCTGGTCCCTACAGGCTACCAATAAAATTGAAGTATAGGATTGCAAGACACCTACCATATTACATATGAGTGACTTATGCTGGAGTGACCTATGTAGTACTGATGTTACTACTACATTACCATCACAATTTCTACAATATTAGAGATGGCAATCTCCTAACTTGAAAAATATTATAACCAACACAGGAAAATTCTGTGAGACTACATATTAATAGGTGGAGAGGAATTGATTCCAGAATTAAAAATAGTAGCTGCTTAGGTATAAGTGGATTAAGTAATCATGAACTGATAACAATTATTATGGGCAAACAGAATAAAAGTCCAAACCAGAAACATGTCTATGCTTGATGCTTTAAAAGATCTGTGCAACGGTGAAAAAATGAGGTGTTCAGTCTATTGGCAGAAATAATTTAAAGAAAAAAAGTATAAATTATCACTGGGAATGAAAAACATTTTAGTTAATGCTCAAAATACTTTCATAGGTGGGAAATAAAAGATCTATAAAATTTAAAAGCATATATAAGAAATGGAAGAAAAGGAAAGCTGATAATGATTAATAAATTGGAAGATAAGAATTATAGAAAATTTGATAAGGGAAGGAAAAAGACAGGTAAAAATTAATGGCCAGAAGAATTAAATATCATATAATTAAATATAAAATGTTTGTTAAATATACTAGGAAGAAAAGGCATCCTAATGCTAGTTTGTTACTAGGTAGAAACAGTATAGTTATTGATAATGCAGAAGAGGACAAGCATTCAATAAATATTTTAATTTTGTATTTGGGGGGGGAAAAAGATACTTAGCTCATATGATGATGAAATACTTTCTAATATTTACTTAAGAAAATGTTAAAACAAGTACTAAAATTAGACATTTTAAATCAGTATACCTAGATAATTTATATACATTGGTTTTATAGGAGCTAAATGAGTAGCATATTGGAATTCTAATGTTGATTTGGTGATTTGGACATAAGCACAGTTTTAAATGTTTTTTCTACATACCTCTAGTAGCAGGGGGCTTGTGAATGCTGCAATGCTGGGGCGCACGGAGTGTCCCACAGAAGCGCAGGGGGTTTACCAGCATGCTTGGCAGCAGACCCGGAAGTGGACCAGAAGCACTTCCGGTCCACTTCTGGGTCTGCTGGGGGGCCCCCCTGCACCTTTTCAGCTCAGTGACTGGTGCCTCCTGGGTCTGGAGGGGCACCCTGGATCCCTCCGTGGCCAATTGCTGAGCTGGAGGGGATTGGGGGGGCCCCCGGTGCGCAACCTGGTAGACCCGGAAGTGGACTGGAACTACTTCCGGTCCACTTCCGGGTTCACCTCCAAGCACGTGGAGAACCCCCCCCCGCACTCCTGTGGGACACTCCATCTGCCTGAGCATCACAGTGATCACAAGCTGCACCTGCTACCTCAACGTAAGGTAGAAAAAACTTTTAAAGCTGTGTCTATGTCTGAAACGCTGATTCTCCAAATCAGCGTCGAATCTTCAGATTTGGATTTGGCCAAATCAAATCAGGGACAGTGATACGAGTCAACTAATCGAATCACTGTCCCCGATTCAGGCCAAATCCAAATCTGAATTGAATAAGGCCTGCTTAGCACACCCCTAGGATATATATGGCATAGCCACAGCAGAAGCCTGCCCCCTGCTGCCTCATATGCCATTGTGGCTTTTCCCTCCATGATAAATGGGGGGAAAATATCTCATCTTTGAATCAAGTAAATATGATATATCCAAAGATTAAATTAGCACTTTTTGTTACAGTATTGCATCAACAGTTCACACTGAGGCAATCATCTGTGATGATGATCCTTTGTTTTTCTTTTGTATTCTTGGTTCTCAGTTAGGCTACTTTACATTTGGCTATATTAAAAGGCATTTTGTTTGATTACAATAATTTAACTCATTGATTAACAATATGTTGCCATCTTTATTTGATACCCCACCAATCTTTATTTCATTTGTAATGTTTCCAGCAAGGATTTGATTAATATTTTTATATAACTTTAACAAATTGGACCAAGCACTGATCACTCAAGGACCCCACTAGAAACAGCACTATTCTGTGATATTACCCAATTAAGAATTATAATTTGCAATACTTGCCCTGAACTCTACAGATTTAAATAACTTTTAAGCTATACTCATCAAAACTACTGGCCACATATTTAATATATGTGTAAATTGCCACCCATCTAATCATTTTAGATATCTTAAAACATTCCTCAGTACTTACACTGTCTTCATATAATCAAGTGATTCACTATAGTCAACATTTTGATAAAATTTAATTGTCTAAAAGAAACAGAATAAAAAATAATGATGATTAGTAAAAATCCTTAAACAACAAATGTCACAGTATAGATCTAGGACATTTTAATGATACTAAGATCTTAAATAAGATGTAATTTCAATGTGGGCCCTAGATGAAGCTTACAGTCATCCTGAACTCATTATGTAAACCAGGGGTGTAAAACTCACACTGAACCCTGGGCCAGATTCGAACTGTGGAGCTCCCCATGGGATGGAACCAGTTGTGGTGACCAGGAGGGTGACAGTGGTTAACCAAACTGTTGCTGACATGGCTGTCCACTCGGACTCTGTGCCCCAGATTTTGGCTGCAAGCCCTGCCCCTGAATTCCTGGCTCTTCTACCATCCGTATGGGCCACAAGACATGGCTCTGTAGACCATATTTGGCTCATGTGCTGTAAGTTTGACACCTGTGATGTATAAAATCAGTTCCATATTGTCTACAAGTCTCATAGAATTTTTTTTATGCATGCATCATAGAATTTGTGATCCCTGAGCCGCTGAACCTGTCTTCTCAGGTGGAATTTGAATTGTACATACACTGTGTTTACATGTTTGTAATTTATGTTCTGCACATTCCAGATTTTTGCATTTATTTTTAAATGAAAGCATGTTTGGGATGAAGGTAACGGGTAATAACATTTACTTTATAATTAACTAGTGATTTTTCTTACTGAGTTAGTAAGTAAACACAATTTAAACTGCAAAAATTATGTTAAATATTTTAGCAGAAAAGGGATGGTTCCAAGTTAGATTTCTGCTAGCAGAAACTCTGATGTAGGGCCTCAGCAAGTCTGCCAGAAGAGAAGCCTGAAGACGTTGGAAGCAGCCACTCCACACCCCTCTAACAATGTCTTAACAACTGTGCAAAACATTGCTCGAGCAAAGCAAAAAAGCATATCAAAATATATTATTTAGAAAGAAACATGTTATATATAGGAACCATGTTCACATAACTCACCTGGTTTTTAGTACAGATTTCATGAGCGATTTCATACTGAACATGTGTCGCCTGTTCCAATAGTTCTGGCCTGTGGATTCTCACATCTACAAATAAGCCCAGATTCTCCTGAAATAATATTTGTGCCCAAAATGTCACTTCATCTCCTTTGTCCAGATAATAGACATTTAAATCTATGTTGTGATGAAATGCTAGATATGGGCATTCATCAAAAAGGCTGTAAGAGGTACCATGTACTTCCATTTTCAAGGGATAATTCTGGCGATGTATACCAGAACTATTGATGACCACAATGTAAAGGTTACCAGATGGATTCAAGTAAAGGACTGTGTTTTTACTTTCATTTTCCCATCTAGGGAGCAGTATAACATCTATTAAGTCAAATTTAAAAAAAAACATGATATTATTTTGCATCTTGATCACGATGTTTCCAGAATAATCTGCAAGAAAAAAAACCAACCATCTTTACTGATTTAGGGCTTTTTTGGGTAGTAATTAAAATAGTCTTAACAATATAAGTTACTATCTCAAAAAAGCACTACAAACCTTCCTAAAATTGGAGACAAATACATTAATATCTATAGATAGATAACATATACCTTTTTATGCTCCCAACACAAATAGATCTAGAGACATCATTCTAAGAATGCATCACTTTGAATAAAAACAGATCATGAGAAGATCTAGGAGCAGTCTGCAGTTAAGATGGATGGAGACAAAGTACAGATTTTCTAGGATTTATCATATTCCACTCTAAAGAAAGACAAAAACTGAAAGAGATTACAACTTGTCTCAGAGAAGCAAAAAAAAAAAAAGAAAAAGAGAGAAAAAAAGAATTCCCTGGCTCCCCCTCTCAACCCCATCACAGGCAGATTAATGTATGGGTCACCAGGTCCTGGGCCCAGGTGCCCCTGCCAATCAGGGAGCCCTGGATGTCTTGCAGGCACGCAGTAGTCCAGCCTGAAAGAGGTCCTGCTTGGGGCTGCCTGGAGATGCAGGGGTGGCACCAGCCTCTTCCTGGTGTGGGGGAAGGGTCAGGGCTGGGCTTGGCCAGGCTGGGAATGCCACACCTCTGTGGGCTGTGGGTGGGAGTGGGGTGGGCGGGCAGTCGTTGCAGTGCTGGGAGGGGTGGCTATGGGGGGGCTAAGGTGAATTTTGGGGTGGCTATCGCCTCCCCAAGCCCTACCTAGTGCTGCCCCTGTGCATGTGCCTGGCTACACAAGGCCAGGAACACAGTCAGGCAGCCAGTTCCTTGCAGGTAAGTCTAGTGGGAGGGAAGGGCTGTGGGGGAAGGAAGGGACATGGGGGAGCAGATTGAGGCCCCCACAGTGAGGGAGGGAGTGGGGCAGGGACTGGGGGCACTGCCCAGCCAGGGCGGTGCATGGTACCTGGGGTGAGGGCAGGGAGTGGGATAGAGCTAGAGATGGCTTGTTTAGGGGGCATGGATGGAGGAGGGAGAATCCCGAGCCCACAGTGGACAGCCTGCATCTGCCCTCACCCCACTGGGCTCTGCTCTAGCTGTGGTGGTGGTGGGGGGAAGCCTGGGGAGCAGGGAGGAGAGGTGGACATGTGCCACTCCACCCCCAGCCTGGCTGGGTCAACCCTAGCCTCCCCCACATGGCACACAGGCCTGCCCCACCCTTGGCAGCGGCAGCACCAGGAAGGAAGGGGTCCCTCCCCCCGCTGCAGTCCAGCTCTTGCAGGTCGCCTCCAATTTTATGTTTGCCCAGGGACCCAATAAATTTTAATCTACCTCTGCCCCCCCATAAATCTACCTTATAAGACTCTTGCTAGAACAATCTCTAAAGACTGACATGGCTGGGAATGTGAGCTAAGGCAACACATTATACACACGGATCATTAAAACTACCCCAAAATTATTAGCATGACAGCTGGTCTGCTGTAATGCTATCATATGTTTCCTTAAAGAACAAAGAACGAAAACCAAATGGAGGAAGAAACAGGACATAGAACGTTGTGAACCAGATCAGTCTCCTCATGTATCACACCAAGTTGTTGCTTCTGTGCATGTCCCAGCTGAGAATCACTGGTATAGGATGAAGAATACTTTCTTTTCTGAAACCTTGATTTTCTTCTAAATTGCTCTAAACATTCCTGATAGTCAATGTAAATTAAAGAAGCTGGCTGCCACCATTAATTAGATGCATGCTGCAATCTATATTATTCTCTACTAAAAGATGGTGGGTACATAGCCAATGACTTAAGTGGGCCAAAGGCCTTTTATTAAACACTGATCCAATTGGAAAGAATTTGGGCCAAAGAAATCCTGACCATCAAAGAGTAATTTCTGAATTATTGCATGCACCCTCTTAGGGAGACTGGATGCTGACATCCATTGTTCACACCTCAAAGCAACTCCTTTAACCACAAGATCTAACCCAATATCAGCTGTATTCAACATTGACACTGTATTCAACATTGCCAGGACTTCAAGCCCTGGGATCTAGATTCCTTCATGAGGAAAAATCCTAGTACTTCCTCTCCTAACTCTGCCTATCTATTGCTACTACCATACCACCACCAGACTAAAGGAAACTCTTAATCTAATACAGTAACTATAAAAAAAACTTCAGTAACAGACCAACTTAACAGAAAACACTAAAGTTCTGACTCTGCTGAGATGCAATTAGCTGTGGTCATAATGCCCTTTGAGGCTTTGGGAGGAAAGCATGACTGTATACAGGTTGCATGGGAAGCCCTTAACACACACTATAGGTGAACATATTTTAAATTCCTGAATAGAAGATATACACTATGGGATCAATATGCAAAGAGAATCAGAGGACATTTTTATACATGTTCCAGGAGGCATGGGCGGGGGTGCTTTAATTAGTGAGCTGCGCTAATTAAAAGTGCCCAAGCATCAAATGTTTCAGTGTCCCCATGCTGAAAAATGATGACATGGTGCTTTGATCTAAAGCTCATTGAATGAGTGCGATTCCCAGTGCATCGCAGCAGGGTCCCTGCACGTGTATAGGAGCCCAAAGAAGCTGCTGCTCTTTCAAAGGTGCTGAAGTAGGCACACCAGTTTTAAGATGTTGGAGGGACCGTGTTTTTACGTGGAGCTACCTTTACCTGAAACTTCTAGACCTGTTTTAGAACGTCCCTGAGAAGGTAATCCTGTAAGAGCAATGGTATATCCTAATAAGTCTAATGACTTCTGGGAAGGAAGAGCTTTTGCCAAATACATAGAGGAGATAGGCACTTTTTGAAGATGACTGTTCTGTGGAAGGAAATTTGGAGCTCCCAGTTCAAAGGTTGGTCTCAGATTTGTTTAACAAATACAGCTTTGATATTGCATCTCTTGCTCTTTGAGTTATTAAAAAAACCCAAAACAAAATACAGCACTACTAGTAATATGTCACCTGTCTAAGCAAAACAGTCATTTGCTATGGCCATCATTAAGTGGGTTGGCTACACCACATATGAGACTGTATTTGACACTTGTACTTGACAATTAGGATTGCATTTGTTGACCATTAGACTGAGAGGACCCAGTACTGAATAGCAAAGAAAAAGAGAAATTAATAAAAACAATGAAACATTAACATCACAAGTGATCCTAATTTAAATCCTCCTTCCAAATCTAATTACATACAAGATGTATTAATGAAAGAGTTTAGAAGCAAATAGCTACAGTAAGAATGCTGTTGATTATTCTGTGTTTCAACCAATGCTGCAATCAGAAGGAACTGAGGCAGCTGGCTATGCTCTACACTTTTAATTTTTATCCTGGGGAGGGGATACGACAGCAATTTGGTTGTAAGCATGTGTTGCTGAACACCACTAGTTAAAAGATTCCAATTCCCAGGCATATACACATCAAGAATGGAACACATATAGGCTCCTGCCACACATTACACATATTACTCAATGAACTGGTTCATTGTACAATAAATTTAGACTAGCCACAAGTGCAAAGTAATTATCACACAATTAACTGGTTAATCATGCAATAAATTTAGACTGGCTACACATGCAAAGTAATTATCATGGCATAAACATGTCTATAGAGATATAAAAAGAGTCAACCAGCCACAAAATTAGTGCTTGAAAACGTGTAACAACTTTACAGCTGGTTTCTATCCAGCTTTAATTTGGATGTATGGGTCACAGATAATTACATAGAAAAGATTTACAATTTTTCATTTTTCTGTTGTACTTTCTATGAACATAGATACTTTTGTTCTCAGCCACAATTTCCTTGCTTTCCTTGCTTGTGCCATATATTCTGTGCTATTTGGGTACTGTATTCCACTCCATGTACTGCCTTATACTTATAAATTATGGAGTGCTTTGGGATCACTCAGGATGAAAAATGCCACATGGGAGCAAGGGACAAGCAAAAAGATAGAGGTGGAAGAGCAGATATGAACAACTGGGTGTAGGGTTACTATGATAATACAGGGATAAGCAATATTTGGTTCACATTTTCAAAGTTTCCTTCAGGAGCACGATGATGTAACTTTTAAAATTAAATTATAAACATATGACACAGAAAGAAATGATTGGTTACTTCATAATAACCATAGTTTTTAACAAAGTCCACATAGATTCCACACTAGTACATGCCTTTTGCAGGCACAAGATTAAATGTATTTTGGCTATGAGTGTCCATTGGTGCTATGAGTGTGCTCTTGAAGTCCTTTTCACAGCATTGTTGTGTTGTTCGTCCTTCACAGGCAAAGACAATCACATTCAGTGGGGGGGTAGGGGTGAAGAAGAGAGAAAAGAAGTGGAAAGAAACAGGGAGGGAGAAAAGAGAAAAGGAGAAAAAAAAAAGGAGAAAAGAGAAAGAGGAAAGAGAAAGGAGCAGGGTGGAGACTAAGTCTCATGGGTACGTAGGTGACATATAAACCCAATCTTTGCCTTGAACAATCTGCTGCAGCAGGGGCAGGAAAGTAGTGAGGACTGGGTAAGAGAGGCTTTTGTTTTCCTGGCCACACACTTCTTCATTGCTTCTGCTGTGTGTTGCTGTTCGAAAGCCAGTGCTCCGTTCTGGATTGATGATCTCCAGGATGGACAGTTGTGAGCAATTTGCTCCCACGACTCCAGGTCAGTGCCGAAACTCTTTAGGGACACTTTTAGGGTGTTCTTGTACCACTTCTTTGGGGTGCTGCAAGAGCATACTCCATTTGACAGTTTGCCATAGAAGATTTTCTTCAGCAGGTGAGTATCGGGCATTCTTGAAAGGTGGCTGGCCCATCTTAGCTGTGCCAGTTTCAGTAGAGTGTGAATACTGGGGAGAGCTTCTGAGCACCTTGGTGTCCAGAGTTTTGTCTTGCCACTTGATCTTTAGTATCTTTCACAGGCAACACAGGTGGAAGTGGTTTAGTTTCTTGTCTTGACACTGGTAGACAGTCCAGGTTTTGCAGGCGTAAAGGAGGGTCAAGAGAATGATGGCTTTGTAAACCTTCAGTTTTGTTGACATTCTGATGCCTCTGCAGTCCCAGATTGACTTTTGGAGTCTGTCGAAAGCCACGCTAGCTTTTGCTAGTCTTGCATTGACTTTGTCATCGATGTGGACAGCACAGGAGAGCATGCTGCCTAGATAGACAAACTTGCTGACCATCGACAGTTTCAAAGTTTGATAGTTGGTAGGGTCGGAAGGGACTTAAGTAGATCAAGTCTGACCCCCTGCCATGGGCAGGAAAGAATGCTGGGGTCAAATGCCAGTTGTTGGCCTTTAACTGAGATGTCTGGTTCTTGGGGTGTTGTGCCAGGTGCAGGTTGAAACATCACTTTGGTCTTCTTCATGCTAATAGTGAGTCTGAAGTTGTCACAGGCTGACGAGAATAGGTCCATGGACCATTGCATGTCAGCCTGTGAGTCTGCGCATAATGCACAGTCGTCAGCAAAGAGGAAGTCACGAAGTGTGGGTGTCTGGATTCTGGAGCTTGCTCAGAGCCTTCATAGGTTGAAGATGCCTCCGTCAAAATGTACCTGATCCCCATACCAAGGTCATCGTCTTGGAAGGCATCCAACAGCATGGCAGAGAATACCATGCTGAGGAGGGTAGGTGTGAGCACACAGACTTGCTTGACACAATTTGTGACCAAAAACAGGTCAGACCATTCACCATTCGCAAGGGCACGTGTCATCATGTTGTTGTGGAACTGTTGAACCATAATGATGCATTTTCCAGGGTATCTGTACTTCTTCACGATTTCCCAGAGGCCTTCACAGTTCACCGTGTCGAAGGCTTTAGTTAGGTTGATGAATGTGAGGAAAGGGCTGATGTTCTGTTCCTGGCACTTTTCTTGAAGCTGCTGGGTTGCAAACACTATGTCAGTGGTTCTGTGTCCTTTTCTGAAGCCGCATTCACTCTCAGGCAGTAGGTCATTTAGATGGTTGGTCAGCCGGTTAAAGAGGACTCTTATGAGTATTTTGCTGGCAGTTGAGAGAAGGGAGATGTCCCTGTGGTTGTCACAGAGTTGGTGATTTCCCTTCTTCTTGTACAGGGAGACGATGGAGGCATCCTTGAATTCTTGAGGGACTACCTCCTGCGCCTACATACTACAGAAGATCTTGGTTAGTTTCTCCATGAGGTCATGACCACCTGATTTATAGACCTCCACTGGAATCATGTTGGCTCCAGGAGCTTTGCCACTAGACATTTGGTACGTGGTCCTTTTGGACTTCCATGATTGTAGGCAGAGCTTCTTGAAGTCCTACCAGGGACATAAATGACAAGGTGGACCCAACTATTTCTCAAGTCCTTGGAAAATATAGAATCCCAGAGGATAACGACACCACCATTATAGAGAATAAAGACAGGTCGTAGTATCCAGGGCCCATGCCAAACATGCAGATAAGGTGTGATAGGATCTGATGTGTGATCCATACAATTGCACCTCCTGCTATGCCACACATGCATGGCAGGAGGTGTGACTGTGGGATCGAGCACCAGATCCCATCATACCTTATTGCTGGTGCAGGGGGAGCCCAGGATCATGATTATAATAATAATTATGATCATGATCATAATCATGATCCTGGGCTCCCCCTACACTGGCAAGTAGCAAGTTCATACACTATACTATACTACAAGTAGCAAGCCCCTCAGCTGATGGGGCTCCTAGACCCAGGGGCACACCATGTGCTTCTGCGGCTGGAAGGCCTATAACCTGATTTGGGCTCCCCGTCATGGGGGTGTGCCATGCACCTGAGGCTGGGACTTCCATTAGTTGACTGAGCTGCCAGCCACACCATATGCACCATGCACTCCCATGTCTGGGAGTCCCAACAGTTGATAGGGCTCCCAACCATGGGGCTGCACCTGACCACACATTCAATTAATGGTGTCATAGGAAGCAGCCACAAAGTAATTACACCTTTTTTTGTGAAATACTTTGTGATTTATTCCTTGTTTTATGGTGCCATTAATTGCTTTAATGTGTGGCTGGGTTACAACTTAAGATACAATTAACCAGTTAATCATGTCTTAAGTGTAACATGTGGCAGAGGCCCATGTAGAAAAGACATCTTCAACAACAACAGTTACTGTACTGTACGCAGTTACTTTCCCTCTTCAAAAGCCAGCCCCATGTGCTGCTCTCTGGCCAGCCACTTCCCGGGCCAGGAGCTGCGAACCCAATGCAGGGACAGCATGCGGCACTGCTTTCTCTGCTGCCTCTGCTTCCCTATGCTATGGCTGCTCCAGCCCCTGGCAGGGATGACCAGTGCCCCACGCTCCTGCTGGCTGCTGTGCTGGCCCTGCTGGCCCACCACACCGACTGCCACCTGGCCTATGGCCATTTGGGGCTACCTGGCTCTCCCACGTGAAGTGACTGCCTGCCCACCCACCACGTACCATCTCAGGGCTGCCGCCATGCACCTGCTGCTTCCACCTCATCTGCCCGGCTGGACCCCAGAAGGGTAACTGATGATGGGCTCCAGGAAGCCACCACTGGAGTCACCATAGCCATCCTGGGCCTACAGCTCCGCTGCCTCTGGGCCTGCTGGGCCAGCCAGGACTGATGGCAGCATGTTGTCCAGTATACCTGGGACAATGAGTAGTGGCTGGAGGCCTTCTGCATGACCAGGGCCACCTCCTGCAACCTCCTGGAGCTGCTCCAGCCCTGCCTGGAGTGGCAGCACACCGGCATATAGCTGCCTCTCCCTGAGGTCCCTTCCAACCCTAATTTTCTATGATTTTAAGACATTTTCAAGCACTACTCTATCATTGCAGCTAAATAAATATTACCAATAGACAGGAGAAGAAGATCAGTGGGAAAAAGTGCCAAAAATATCAGAGGCATGTATTGCCTTATTAAGTACTGCTGTTTAAAAGCTTCCTTACTAGTGGTAAGGCTTGTAATTAAAAACTTGCAATTAAAAGCTTGCAATTAAAGATTTTTTTTTGCAAAAATCTTGTTGGTCTAATAAAGGATATCATCTCTGCCATAAGCCCTGATTGCTTTTTCCTCTTCACCAATACAGCTACAACCTGGACTCCTTACTAGTGGGACACATTTCTAAAAAATCCATGTTGGCAATACTTGAAGGAAAATATCAGTTAACTACCTTATAAATATTTCTGTCCAGCTAAAATTGATGCATTTTAATCCTTATAGTCCCCTGAGTATAATCATTTTAACAAATAATAGCAAATAATTGCTAGAGAAAAGATTTTTAGGAATCCTCTTACTTACTTCTGCCTTATACTTAAATTATATCAAAAGACAACAAACACTGTATACTTAACCTATTACAATTTGGTGAATACTGCTCCCATTAGTATATTCGGCTGGGGTAACATTTGTCTCGTGCACTGGAGGAAATCCATAAGCTGTGTTGTTTCTATAGCTATAATACATAGATGTCTTGTTCCACAGCAGCATTGATGGCAATGCTGAATACATGAATTCCATCTTCATAAAACCCTTGGAAGGAGCACTTAAGAAAAAGTTTCTAAGAACCCACATATACCTATCTTCATTATATGTCACTACATAAAACATCCTAGAGGAGCTGCACCCAATGCAGGCCACCAATAGAGCAATTTCAGCTGGGCATGAGTCATAGGAAACAGTGCCTAGAGATAAGGAAACATCCTCTGGGAATCCTAGGATATTTTGTAGCTTTGATGTATCTGTTATTCTAATAAAAACATTGTCACCATATCCAAGGTGCACGTCAGTTGATGTCCATATTGCTGTTGTACTTAATTTTCTCCCACTCTGTTAAGAAAAAAACCCCAATTAGATGCATAGTAGCAAACAAGTTAATGAAACATGTCAAAATCTCTATTAAAAAGCCTTGTGATAGTTCTTCAGTCAATTGATAAAGTGCTACTGGAATCAAATTACAAACTCAAGCTTTTATTTTTAAGTGATCTGAAAATAAGTTAGTTACATTTAAGCCACTTTAAATTCCAAATACTCTTTTATAGCTGGAGAAAACACAGAATACTTTACAGATCTAGTGAACTTGTATATTCCAAAATGTAAGACGAAACTTTACTAAAACTTACCTTCATTGGATATTCAGATGGACACCAAACCCTTGACTGTACTCCAATAATGTCTCCTTCTGATAGATCGTAGTCTGTTCCAAGTTTAAAGAAATCATTAGACTCTCGTTTGTAAATATTTCCATTTATTAAAAACAAGATTCCATCATCTGCTAAAGCCACAGCAGTTACATTTTGAGCAAGGTTAGAGGCCAAAATGTGTGATGGAGCTTTTATTTCTTTAGAAGTTCTGAATCCATCATTTGTATGGAAAGTTCCAAAATCTGTCAACACAAGTGCAGTTGTTGGAAAGCATGCAGACCACACAATGTAGATGTCACTACCAGCTGGTGAAGAGAGGGAGATGTCATTTGCATTGTTAAAAAATGGCTGTTCAGGTCTGGAAAGTATGTAAGGAGTATCTTGAACAAAGCAATCTTGAAAAGCTATTGCCTTTCCATGGATAATTGTTATGATGTCATCTGAATTTGCAGGTACCTTAATTTTCCAGAGCCTGAATATAGAAAAAGTGACAAATTGTCAAGATTTAAACTTAACAGGCTAAGAAAAATACTTTATTGACATATTTTACAGGTAACAACTCAAAACTAATTATACTTCACTTAACCATTTCTTTATGCATGTTAAACTTTTTCACATTACATTATTCTAAAATAAACTGTATCTGTGGTCAGTGTAATCTGCATGCGTGCGGAGACAGTTATTTGAGCGATAGTGCTGTGGTTAGAAAGGGTGTGTACTTCAGAGCACAACCATTTCTAGTTAAAATAGCATACCTTATCCCATTCCTCCAAGTCATTTTCTACTGTGTACCCATTTCCACTAAAAGCAAAATACAAAATAAAAACAAAAGAGTGGGAAGAAAGACCACGATTTTCCACCAGCAAAACTAACTTACCGCTATCCCTCTAATGCTTAGTATTTCAGAACTAGCTGAGAATTCTACATCTAAACTGTCTTCTACACAGGAACAAGAATGGTTACAGGTGACTAGGTTACAAAATGCCTGGACGCAGGAGCAAGGGTGGATGTCATATACTTAGACTTCAGGAAGGACTTCGATACGGTATCCCACCCCATACTGGTGAACAAGTTAAGAGGCTGTGACTTGGAAGACTACACGGTCCGGTGGGTGGCGAATTGGCTAGAGGGTTGCACCCAGAGAGTTGTAGTGGATGGGTCGGTTTCGACCTGGAAGGGTGTGGGCAGTGGGGTCCCGCAAGACTCGGTCCTTGGACCGATACTCTTCAATGTCTTCATCAGCGACTTGGACGAGGGAGTGAAGTGTACTCTGTCCAAGTTTGCGGATGACACAAAGCTGTGGGGAGAAGTGGACATGCTGGAGGGCACGGAACAACTACAAGCAGACCTGGACAGGTTGGACATATGGGCACAAAACAACAGAATGCAATTCAACAAGGAGAAATGCAAAGTGCTGCACCTAGGGAGGAAAAATATCCAGCACACCTACTGCCTAGGAAATGACCTGCTCAGCAGCACAGAAGCAGAAAGGGATCTTGGAGTCCTAGTGGACTCCAAGATGAACATGAGTCGGCAGTGTGACGAAGCCATCAGAAAAGCTAATGGCACTTTATCGTGCATCAGCAGATGCATGACGAATAGGTCCAAGGAGGTGATACTTCCCCTCTATCGGGCACTGGTCAGACCGCAGTT